GCTGTGCTACTGAGTTGTGTAATCTTAAGCAATTTGCTTAAACACAGAGAATTCCTCATTTGTACAAAAAAAAGAGATAATATTAATGTAAAGGAAAAATTATTAAAAATAAGATAATATGCAGGTTTTGTCTCATCCAGAAACCTCCTTTTTTGCTGATTTAACACTGTTAAGCTCATTATTACTTTTCATGCTTCAGTATTGATCACAGCTCTCAGTAGAGAAAGCCTGCTGGGCTCACAGGTGCCATTTACTTAAGTGGAGTCAAGAATTCCTGTGTCATGGAATTCAGCTATAGAGACACCATGATGAGTCTGCGATCCTCTGGTAACTGACTGAACTATCAACAGGCACAAAATCAGTAGCCCTTGGGTCCAGAGGGCCATAAGGAGAGCATTTGAATTGTAGCAGATCTCATGAAAGCTTAACAGGACCGTGAACCATTCAAGTTTCCCACTCCCACCACCCCTTTCCATTGTAAGGAGGTAGAGATGAAAGTGAACTTGCTTTCATTTTATTTTTTGATTTTTCAATTACAGTTGATGCTCAATATTATTTTATATTAGTTTCAGGTGTACAGCATAGTGTCAGATATTTATATAATTTATGAAGTGACCCTACCCCCCCATAAGTCTAGTACCCAACTGGCACCATATATAGTTAGTACAATATTATTGACTATATTCCCTAATCTGTACTTTATAACCCATGACTAGTACTTCTTAATCCCTTCACCTTTTTTTATGCAGACCCCCAATTCCCCTCCCATCTGGCAACCATCAGTTTTGAACTTGCTTTCAACTGCCTGAGCCTAGGGATGGTTCTTTATTACAGGTGTTTTCAATAATACTGAGCATACTTAACAATGAACCCCTCAATTCCAATTTCCAGTGTTTTGTAACAAGAATTAGGTGTGCTAATGTAACCAATGGGGTATGGAATGATGAAGCCTCGTCTGTGGGTTTGAGGGAATTATGGGGCTAAATTGTGGCCACTGTCAAGGTCTGAGATCTGGGGGTTGGAAATGGGGTGGGATTTCTTCCTTTCCAAGCAGTTTGAGCCAGAAGGTTTGTTACAGAAAATCGGAACGAAAGAGAAAACAAGTATGGCCACTAAATCCAAAGGACCAGAGGCAAAGTAAGAGGCACTCAGGGGTCTAGGAGTTAGTAATCACATGGGGTTGGGAATAAAGGGGGAAGATTCAGCACAAACTCCAAGAACACATTCCAGGAGTCCAACCCATTTGGCAAGAATGTGTCAGCGAGTTCAGAGCAAAGACAATGAATTTGTAGAGAACATACGATTTCAATTTAAGATGTCCTGGTCACACGTGAGAAGTGAGGACACAGATAGCTGATGTAAGCAAAGTGCAAATGCTAAGGGTTTCCTAAAGGAGGAAGAGCAGAGTGTATACATACATATGCACTTAGCGTTGCAGTAAGATGGCAGAAAAAATACTGAATTCCTTAAGAGAGGCACCAGCTCACTTGACAGAGAATCATTAGAAAGACAGTGTTTCTCAATGTGTGCTTGGCAAACGGCCTGCACCAGCATTGCTTAGGAAAAATTGTTAAAATGAAGATTCTAGGACCACTGGGGTCTGGGATTCTAACTCCATAGAACAGTTTTCTGATTGGCCAGGAATCCCGCTTTGGGGGTGTCAGAAATGAGCTCATGAACGTGGCAATTTCAAATCAATGAGACATGGCTGCAAAAAAGGGAGGGCACACAGAATGAGGAAGACAAATCATGGGTGAAAATATCATTTGTTGGTTGCTTTAGACCTGTACCTCTTACTCCTTCATGGCCTCCTGAGTCTTACTCCCTTGGCTTGATCTTTGGGAACCTGATTCTCCTTCTCTCCTGCTACTTCCTTCTGCCTGGTCTTGCTTGTGCCCATCCCACCACAACCTGGGCCGCTCTCCTGAATAAGGCCTTTGAAATCCCAACAAAAATACCAGCAAGCTTCTTTTTCTTCTTCTGATACTAATTGCTTATAAAGTTAAATGGAAAGAACAAACAAGCTAAATATCCAGGAAAACCCTTAAAAGACAAGGAATACAGAAGTGGGAGGGGCTAGCCCTACCATATATTAAAATGCACTACAAAATGATTACCTATAAGGGAAGAGGGTACAAAGAAGGAAAGACAGGAGTGAGAGCTAAACTTTCCTGACTACACCTTGTTTTGTAGCTCTGACTTTAGAATCATGCAAAATTTTATATAATTATAAAACAAAATTAAAGTTGTAAAAATAAATCCTAAAAACTGAAAGCAAAATGAAACAAATGAACCTGGTAGTTTTATGAGGTGGAGGTTTAATACTGGAGAAGAATTCTTTCGAGATTTTAAATATGACTCACCATCTATTGAGAGATATAACTTACAAAGCAAAAGAATTTAAAGCTTATGACTTTAAAAAAATCATACCAGAAAGCAAGGAAACTTTTAAACACTATTAAACTTACATCAAAAGAGCCCAAGAGCCAACTTGAAGGGGGTCTTTTTGGTTAAATATTGGATAATTAAAGTTTTCAAAGGAATAATAATAACTGGAATACTCAAATATATTAAAAATCCATGAATTCTTAATAATATTGAGGGACCTCACTATGCAGAATGCTGGGGGAAGTAGCTTGTTATTCTGAAAACTGGTGAGAAAGGACAAAAGGACAAATAAACCATGTTTCTGCCTTTTGTGTACAAATCACACCTCAGCAAACCAAATAGTTATTAAAAGATAAGTCTTTCTTTACCCAAGAACTCTAAATAATAAATAACAAAGAAATGGCAGAATTGGAAAAAAACATTTTGGAAGCCATAACAAAATGATGAATATAGGCAATGTTCCTCCATGACTGTTAACACCATAACAAAGCACCATTACTTATAAAGCATTGTTGCTAGATGAGGGATCCTGAAGCTGACCAGGTTCTAACTAGCTGTTAAAGGGAATATAGAATGTGAGAGATGCTACAGAACAAACCAACCTTGTCTCTTCAATAAGTAAATTGCAAGAAAAAGGAAAAAGAGGAAGAGGCAACTAACAGATTATGAGACGTCAGAGATATTTCAGTCGAATGCAATGTTTGAACCATGTTTAGATCCCAATTCAGAAAAACTAAACGTTTTAATAAATTAGACAATCAGTCACACGTGAATAGTGGCAAAATATTTGATTCCTAGGAAGCTTATTTCATATTCTTGGATATGATAATGGGTTTGTGGTTATGTTAACAGAAAGATTCCTTTCCCTTTAGAGATACATACTGAAGTATTTTTGGATGAAATGGTATGATGCTGGGGGGTAAGGCACATCATGACTTTTGTTGTTCCCAAACACTTCTGCCTTCATGAGCCCCCAGTCACCATAATATATGTTGGGGTCCTAAAAATGTCATTGTTTTCTGAAGTGAGAAAAAAATTAAAACATTTTCTTCGATCTTACAAGTTCATTTTTTTTTCCTTCCGATTTTAAGAGCAATTAAAACATTTTTGTAGAGTCCTAAAAGTATCATGGGTCCTGGCATTATATGCCTGTTGTGCCTAAGGGATGAGTCTGTCTTCATTTGCTTCAGAATGACCCAGTGGCGGGGAGAGAGAGAAGGAAGAAGATTTGTGGGGCGAAATAGGGAAGAAAATGTAACGTTCCAAAGACGAACATTGGCCATGGCTACTTTCCATGGGACTAGGTGCCCTGAAAGACCATGAATGTCTAGTTTGCCTAATGAACCTATATTCCTATACAGACATCCCAAACTTTTAGAGCCTGTAGCCATCAGCCACCACCATTCTCCAGCATCCCTGGCTTTGCTTTCAGGCTATCCCGGCAGCCTTCTGACTGCTGTCTGCCCTGTGGTTTGCTCACATGGAGAAAATGCCCTGGTAAAGCTGAAGTGCATGGTATACCTGCTTGATGGGCATGCGTCTCATTGAAGGTGAATCTATCAGTCTTACAGGCTCTGGTCTCCCTTGGATTTACTTAGTCATCTGGAATTGGTAGAATCAACTCTGGGACAATAACAATATGTCCCAGCTTCTGGATTTCCAAGGCAGAGAGAGGGACAGACCATAGAACTCAGGCAATGCCTCCTGGAGTTTGCTTCTGGCATTAGCCTGTTGTCTTCCTTTGGTCATCCTGACCCTCCACAGTGCATCTTTTCTTCCAACTTCTATATTCCCATGATATTCAAAATGCATTTGGGATAGATTGAAAAAAAAAAAAAAAAAAGAGGCCACAATACTAGGTAGCTCCTCCCACCAAAAGGTGGAGTCTGTTTCCTATTTCATCTCCTGAATCTGGGATGGCCATGTGACTTGCTGTAGCCAATAGAATGTGGAGGGAGTGACCATGTATGAGTTCTAAGACTAAGCCTCAAGATACCTCACAGCTTCTGTTCTTGGTCTTTTGGAAGCCTAAGGTTGCTCTGTGTATAAGGCCAAGCTAGCCTGCTGGATGATGAGAGACAAATGGCCCAACCACCCCAATCATTCCAGATGACAGCCAGATACACCCCAGAAGCAGAGCCACCCTGCTCATGTGCAACAGGCTACAAATATGTGAGGGAGTCCAAGCAAGCCCAACACAAGAACCTCCTAGATGAACTCAACTTGCCAAAGCACAGACTTTCAAGCTAAATAAATGGTTGTTATTTTAAGCTACTAAATTGTGTAGTAGTTCGTTATGCAACAGTAGGTAATCAATACAGCAGTATTTGTGTTCTTAATAACTCCCCATTAATAATCCTGAAGTTATTGCCACTGTTTGTCTCTGAGAAGCTGTAAGATTTGCCTCGTGACATAACAAAATTGGGATTTATCTTGGGCTATCTCATGAGCTTCAATGACTCTCGCAGAAGAAATTGCCCCTACTTTTCCAAAAACGATGCTAAGGGATTTGGTTAAATGGCACAGAAATTTTGGATTTTCCAACATTCACTTAAGGGGAAAGACTAGGGTTAAATACACAAAAATTGCATTATCAGACATAGATTTCTGACCTTTAGCCGGCGGTCTGGATCTCCACTGCATAGGGAATTTACTGATACTTTGAATGATTTCCAGGCTGGGCTTAAGTTATTCATCACAACCTGAGAAGAAAAAAGAGAGGAGTGGTGGGTGGGAGAGAAAATGTTTGACATTTTCACATTTTACCATAAAAAATGCTAGAGATGCTTTTTGGTACTTTGAAAAGGACAATTGGTTGGACCAAGTGCCTTAATGAAAACCTAGAGTAGTAGATCTTTTAAGGGTGTCCACTAAGTGGGTCAGTATAGGCAGAATTCCTGTGATCACTGGCCTGGCTGTCATTTCAAGAATAGGACAGTAATACTGTCTAGTATGTGGATGCTAAGGATGACTCATTCTATATCAAAAGGGATTGGGATTAATGGGATGGGGCTACCTCTGGCCTCTGATAAAACATCCCCTCTTCTGTAAGACTGTCGGTCCTATGACGTAAGTTCTCTTTTATTGAGATCAGCATAGGCAGACTATTGGTGTGTGTGTGTGTGTGTGTGTGTGTGTGTGTGTGTGTGTGATAGGACAATTCTACTGCTAAAGAATTAAATGGTCTTTGGTAATCCATGAGTTTGAGTTAGATCAGTTTATAAGTCAGAAGTTTCTAGAAGAAAAATCCCAGGAGCATATTTACACTAACTATCCTAGGAAGACAGACACAGAGCCAATCTTCAGTGTCATGACCTAAGTCTATTAAATAGTGAAACACATTTAAAAGCAGCTTACTAATCATGAACTTGGCTAAATCCTGCCCAAAATTCCACATGTGTCAAGTCTTACCCTGTCATCACTATGATTCAAATAATTCAATTTGTTTTAGAATGTATGAGTATCTGCTCTGTGCCTAAGACTATTCCTGAATCAGCAGGGGCTGTATCACCTGGGAACTTGTTAAAAATGCAAGCATCTAGTCCTGGCTAGTTTTTCTCAGTGGTTAGAGTGTTTTGCCTGTGGACTGAAGGGTTGCAGGTTTGATTCCTGGTCAAGGGTACGTACCTCAGTTGCAGGTTCCCCAGCCATGGTAGAAACATGTGGGGGAGGCAACCAATAGACATGTCTCTTTCACATCAATGTTTCCCTCTCTCTCCCTCCCTCCTCCTTTTCTTCCACTCTCTATAGAAATCACTGGAAAAAAATATCCTTAGGTGAATTTCTAGGGTCCACCCAGACCTATGGACAGAAACTCTAGAGGACAACGCCCCCCCCCCACCCCCCTCCCCAGTGATTCTGATGCATGAAACCACTGCTCTAGGGGACATAAAATGAACTTAAATTGTCGTATTGATTTCTCTTCCTATGAAGTTATTAGTTAGCAGAAGTCTTAGCACTGTAAAATATTAATTCTCTATCCAAATAACATAATTATTTTCTAAGTGATTCTCTCTTCTACTGGAATCCTTAATATAACTATGAATTATTCATTATATCCTGGGCTCATTATTAAATTTCTTTTAATGCATTAAAGTAGAAAAATACTGTTCCTGCGTGACTTTGTCTTAAGCTCCAATACCCTGGGGATGATCAAAGTGATAGTGATGAGAAAAGTTAGATAAAATCATCTGGGTTAGGTCAAAATTCTCACCTTTATGTAAAAACTAGAGGCCCGGTGCATGAAAAATCATGCACTGGAGTTGGGGGGGGGGGTGTCCCTCAGCCCAGCCTGCCCCCTCTCACAGTCCGGGAGCCCTCAGAGGATGTCCTACTGACGGCTTAGGCCCGCTCCCCGCAGGAAGCGGGCTTGAGCCGCAATCTGGCCTCCCTCTGTGGGAGGTGACTTGCTGATCAGCAGAAGGCACTGCCCCCATCACTTCGTCACTGGGGCTGCCTCTGGTCTCCCTCTGCGAGAAGCGACCAGGTTGATCAGGGGAAGGCACTGCCCCCATCATGCCTCTGCTGCTGCCACTGCCAGCCCCCAGGCAGCCACCACTTGCCTAAGCCTTGGGCCGGCTCTGGGCAGTGGCAGCCACCATCTGTGGCTTGCCTGAGCCTCGGGCAGTGGCTACGGCTTTGTCCAGAAGACATCTGCTCTAATTAGCATATTACCCTTTTATTAGTATAGATACTGAGGAGTAAAGATTTCTTATTGCAACTGTTTTGAAAAACTCAATAGCAAATCAAAATTTCAACTAGAAATTTCCTCTGAAATGAAAAATGTGCATGTGTGCACGCCCACAAGAAAAAAAAAATCAATGTTACGTTGCTTGACTCACTGGAGAAGTTTATAATCACATTTCTTGTGAGACTCCAGGATCCCCTCAGTAATGGGATATTGGGGGAAGTTCTAGAGATTCTTGGGACTAGGAGGATTTAACAATATCAACAATGAGAAGAAAAAGGCTGTGAGGAGCAAAGGAGAAAAGGATCCTGTGAGAGAAGGCCAACAGTGTACCATCCATCCCTGTTCTCCCTGCACTTTAAAGCCTCCATTCACTGACTACAGCAAAAGCTTGGTTGGATACCACTCCTGGTCCTCCCCAAAGTCTATTTATTTCCCCTGAAAAGTCTGTGCCACCAAAGGAATCCTTATGTGTGAAATGATTCTATTCAGTGGGGGTGAAACTATCCCAGTTGCACCTCAATCTATTCCCCAGGGATTAAGTTCCAGAGCATCACTTTGTGCTATAACTTGTAGTGGACACACTATCTATACGCAACTCCATTCATTTAATCATTGTTTTATTAAACCCATTTTATTAAATGCCAAGTATGCATTTGATGATATCCACAGACTAGGCCATTCAACACTGTTTAATACTTGTCTACTTTAAGTATGACATGTTCTGTTCCCCCAATGTTACTTGCAACTCTGTTACTCCAGGAAAATGGAACTGGATTTCCAGTGTAGGGTAGTGAGAACATGGCACCTCCATTCTCATCGTATGAGTCATGAGGGTTCCTTTTTCCTTTATGCTACCACTGGTGAGCACAACACAGTCTTCCCTTAGCTCCAAGTCAATCATCAAAATTACCCCACTTCCTCCTTATCAATGTGCTTCTCACTCCTACAGAATCTCTCTTGGAACTGGCTTATAAATAAAATAAAAAGTAGAGATTGGGGTTGGTTGCTGAGTGGTACACAGTAGTGGGTAGTGGCGGGGGGTGGGGGGGTGGACAGTGAAGCATAAGGTTTGGAGACACACGGAGAGAGACGAGGGGAGGTGAGAGGGACATGCAGATAGACCCAGTGGCTGCTGAGGAAGGCTGCTGTTCACATGAGAGGCTTGCTATCAGTCCAGTGTATCAACTTTCCCTGGGGAGGCAGATTGTCTTTCCAAATTACAGGGGAGCTCAGAATCAAACACACTCAATTCAAACTTCAGCTGTACCCCTTGTTAACTGCGAGAACTGGGGAAGTGACCCGACCTCCCAAGAGTTCAGTTTATTCAACTGCAAAATGAGGGTAATAAGCATGTCAAAGGATTGTTGTGAGAAGTAGCTAAAATAATGTGCATAAAATCACTTAGTACAATGTTTGGCGCCTAGTCATCTTCATTAAATGTTACCTAGTATTTATATTTGTATTACTAATAAAATAATGAAAAATGTGGATGAGAGAGGGTCTTCTAACAATCTAAATTGAGAATAAAGAGTCCTCTTGAGAACCGTGAGGACTCATGTCTGAATGCATAGCTACAGACATTAAGAAATGTAAGGGTTTCCTCAAAACAGGTCAATTTATCATCTTAGGAGATGAGATGGCATAGTTATTACCTCAGTTCGGTGTACAAGCTGCTGAGTTGCATCATCATTCATACGAAAAATTTCCAGAAATGGGTCAGATTTACTGAAGAAATCCTAAAACAGACAGATACATAAAAATAAGTTGTTTTCCCTCTGCTAACACATCTAATTCAGCATATAGCATGGATATAGCATATTCCCCCCACATAGTCATACTGCAACTTTCCAAATGTACTTAGAAAGCAGTTGTTCTCATGATACTTAACAGAATTTTAATATTAGGAGCTTTATGTATTTCAGTGGCTTTTAGTCATGATATATTTTCTCAATGAATAGATAAGCTCAACCACTAACATGCAGGCAGCTAGAACATGACTTAATGCTAAAAGCTAGAAGGAAGTCCTCCTTGAGAACCTCTGGGAACTACCTTTCCAGCTATGACATGAAGTAATTATACTGTCTTATTCTGGATTGGTGACAAAAGCACTGTGGCAGATTGCATTTTCCATAGGTGGCCCTCACAATGTCCACTGTCCACATGTTTTCTACCATATGACTTTGCTACCCCCTCACCAAGGCATGGAGCCTCACTCCCCTCTCCTTGACTCTGGGATGGCCTCTCGGCTCTCTTGTAACCAACAGAATATAGCAGAAGTGATGAAGGATGACGTCCAAGGCTTTGTCGAAAAGGCCACCCAGCTTCTGCCTCATTTCCTTGCATGCTCCCTCTGGAAGAAGCCAGGAGATCCTGTAGGAAGTGTGACCATCCAAGGACCAAGCTCCTCCACGAGTGACTTTTGTCAACATCATTAGGAGCAGAAGAGTTATCCAGATGAACCCTGCCTGAATTTCTGGCTCTCAAAATCACGGCATACAATAAAAGAGTTGTTAATTTAAGTCACTGGGTTTTAAGGTGGTTTTGTTATACAGCAAGAGCTAACAGAGCAGTAATAGTGTCTTTGTCATCAAGCAAATCAGAGCCTTTATTTCCTGAAGAGGTTGTATGAGATGATCTTCATGGCATCATCTTGTTTCTTAAATTCTACAACTTGCCATTGCCCTCTTTCACCTGAGACCATTCACCTTCCAGTCCAAATGGAAGCAGTGGCTTCTGCTTGGCTCTGAACAGGGCCTGCTCCTTGCTGGACACGAAGGAGCCCATTATAAAGGGCCTGGGTCTGCAGCACCGGGGCGCTGAGGCGCAACAGCGACTAGGGTCCTGGGTAATCTGCACAGTCAAGGGTGGGAATGGCCATCTCGAACCACATTAAATGCTACATAGGGACTCTTTCAGTTTTATGAGCAGTGCTCATTTGAATGAAAGGAAACTTCGAACACCTGAGAGTTAATGTGTCCACTAACAAACCTGGAAGTCTCTTGCGCTGTGACGTAAGTCAGAGGACAAATTAGTGGTTCTTAAGAGACTAGTAAGAGGAAAGAAGCCATTATAAGCCATTAAATGAGTAGTGTAACACTGCTACACACTGACTCCATGGCCTATAATGGTACCTGGAAAGGCACTACAAAGCAGTTTGGTGAATTATTCTGAAACCTGGGGATATGACAGGGAGAAAGAGCATAATGGTTCCAAGGAAGTGAAGGTTAAAAGCTCACACCTAATTGATATCAATGCACACTGTGGTTCCCAACACCAAGTTCATGCTAATGTCAAAAGGTAGCGGTTGTGTGAGTTTCACACAATGCACTCAAGATACTGAAAGAATTAAAATATAATTCATTCACAAGGATAAAGTCTTTCCTGATGTTCCCAGGCTGAATGAATGACCCTTTTCAGGGCACTCTTGTTATACATCACTTAGCCCATCCTGTCATGGCTACAGTATTATTATATCATTTGTTGTTTAAATTTATGTTTCACTTAAATGGTGAATTGCAGGTTGTGGGTGGGAGAGTGGTTTAAAGTATGCCTTTTTCCTATCACTTGATGCATAACAAGCATGCAACAAAGGTTCGGTAAATGACTGATGAATAAGTGAATAGGTAAACAAAGGAAAAAGTGAATTAATGAATGCATAAATGGGCTGAGTATTTTTGCAGGTGAAAGTGAATGAGATATGCCAGGATATAAGCTGCTGCTTAAGAGTTTAGGAAATTGCTTAAGATACTGCTTTACCCTCTTCATCCTAATGCCTGTGTGGTGCCACATCCAAACATCCCATCTTCTCTAGTTGTACTCTAGGAAAACGAAGCCCTTTGTGAATACAGTTATGAATGTGATGTGTTTTCTGATTCAGGATATGGTTAAAGGGAAATCATAAATATATGGTGAGGACACCCCCGCCCCCTTTTTGTTTTTTAAAGAAGTGGAGACTGTAGAACTTTTTTTTTGTATATGTAAAACTAACATGGACTGTGATTGGGTGGGAGATGTGAGATATAATAGAAAGATGACAGTGAGGCAGACATGAAACTGAAATCTCAGATTAACCACTGATTAGCAGGATGTGGTGGTCACGAGAACATACTTTGTAGACTGCCCCCTCTACAGAGCGTGTAATTGACCAAGGGCCCCTGCTATATGCTTGCACTTCCCACCCTGAACTCGCACCAAGGCCAGGCTTCCCATGGAATGTTCCCAGCCAGTGACTCCGTGTAGAGTCAAGGAGGCCAAGAACTAACTCTACGAACTAGAAGTCTAAGAGTAAACATGACTCAACCAAAGGACTTGAATGCATTTATATGAGCGTAACCAATGGACACAGATTGGAGGTAGGGCGGTGGGAGGGTGAGGGCATGTGCTGGGGGGTGGGGCAACTGGAAAGAGGTCAATGGGGGGAAAAGGAGACTTATGTAATACTTTAAACAATAAAGAATTTAAATTAAAAAAAGACTCTGCCAATACCCCTGAAAAAGTTCATAGTTATTGCTCTGAAAATCATTACTATGAATAGAGTCAAGGCCTCTATTACAAAGACGTTCACTGACATTTAAGAAGATATAGTGTAAAGAGGCCAAGAGAAGTGGATTTTAATCCCAGATTGGTCACTTACTAGTAATGTGATCTTGAACAACTTCTCTATCCCCTCTGAGCCTATAGTTTTCCCATTATTAAAATGGTAATAATAATATCCATCAAAAATTTTTTAAAAAGAGTAAACATGACTAATCTTAAGGGTCTAGTTCTTATGGTCCTCTGGAGATAAGAGTTGTTTGGTTTTTTTTTAACATATATATATTGATTTCAGAGAGGAAGGGAGAGGGAGAGAAAGAGATAAAAACATCAATGATACGATCATTGGTCGGTTGCCTCCTGCATGCCCCACACCAGGGATTGAGCCCGAAACATGGGCTTCTGCCGGACCAGGAATAGAACTGTGATCTCCTGTTTCAAAGGTCGATGCTCAACCACTGAGCCATGCCAGCCGGGTGAGGTATGTGTTTTTAAACCTCTTACCAAATACCTGGAAACACATTTTGGGACATAAACCTTGTTGTGATGTAATTGTTTCCCAGTTCAACAAGGTCTTAACTGCTTATCCATGTTAAGATGAACTGGCCTGGTTGACCTATTAAATAAGGAACGGGTCAGATAAGTGAAGAGCTTGGTTCAACAGTTACACTCAGTAAAATGCATCCAGCTTCAGTTAAGCTTGGCCTTTTGAAAGTGATCGGTTCCTAAAGTCTGAAGCTGAATAGATCAGATTCCTTTCCCTTATAACACTATCTTTCCTCGATTCCAGGATAAGCTGCATGTTCAGACTACTGAGCTTGTTGGCCAATTTTGGCTCTAGGCCCCTTTGATGGCCTTGCTGAACCTTCCTTGGACTGCATGGCATTCCAGGACACTGCCCCGCCCTTCCTTCCCTCTCTCCTTTATTCATTGTCAGACTTGCATCACGGTCTGTGAGCTCTCTCAGACTTCCTCCCTATGTTCCTTACACAGGCATGTCTCCCAATAAAATCCTTGTTTATTTAATCCTGTCTTGGGTTATCTGAACCAACACATCTTTGAATCTGTTCCCTCATTTGCAAAACAGTGTTAACAGTATCTGTTGGCTGGAAGTTATAAGAATGAATGTGATAACACATGCAAAGCTCTTAACTCTGGCAAGTATGGGTGCTCAATAAATGCCACTTTTCTTCCCTTTTCCATTTCTTCCTTTCCTTTAAAATGCCCCTACCAATGGGGTTAAATCATATTTACCCATGCATATCTGAGCTGTGGCATTTGGGAACAAATGAAATCTTAGCATAATAAAAATTTCCTGGTTTAATTGTAGACTCTCTCCTATCTCATTAACTAATTCACAATTTGGGGAAAGTCGTACTTTGCAGGCCTCTCTGAAATCTCCGATCTGTTTAATAATGTAGGCTGAAAGGGATAAAATAGCTATAGGGGAAAATCTGATTAAACTTTGGGTGCTGGCTTTATTACTTCCTTCAGGAAGGTTAATGCCAAACACTTTACCTTGTCATCCAATTTCCGCGCGTTGAATGCAAGTTCAACATAGTCATCATTGCCGGATAATTCTTCAGCAATCACCTACAGGAAAAAGCATGCATCAGCTGCAGTAACGGTTGGACCATCAGCCCAGGAATTCGTGAACAAATTTAGCTCATATTTGGTTCAAAATCAACAAAGACTGAGGCTGGAAAAGGAGTTTTCTCCAATGCTAGTGAACATGGCACAGCATTTCCAGGTGTTTAAGGCAACTCCTTAGAATAAACAATAGTAGATAACCAGATTTCACTTATGCTCAGCAGGACAACACAACAGATGGGGTGTAGGCTGGAAGAAGAGACAATTTGGAGCAGCAGTTAGGAAGAGCATTGGATGGCACATCCACACATAATTATATATCCTAGAGATTTGGAGGAATTGAGAAGAAGGAATCATGCTTATAGCTGTCAATCATTAAGAGATTTTATGATTTAGCTAAATAAATTGCTTTCCTCTTTCTCTAGCTGAGATCTTTTGTGTGGAAAGAACAGAAAATGGGGAGAGAAAAGGTTGGTGCTTTTAACCAGGGTGTACTTTGCAAGTAGAGGAGGAGATAAGACTTAAATAACTTCTGTGAGTCAACTTGAGAAATTTAATCACTATTCCTTCAATTAAGAATTGGAAGGGGGAGCCGTCTAGCATGTAATCCTAGCACCAGCCAGAATAGGAATCAAAGTGCAGATAACATGAACCTGAGATCCTGGCTCACTGTTGCTAGAAATATACTTTTTACTTTGCCTTTTATTTCAGTGATTTCAGCAGTCTATATTCAGTAATTCAAACAAATGCAAAAAGAAAAGTAATCTTGGGTTTTTTTAAAAAAAATTTATATTTTAAATATATTTTATTGATACTTCAGAGGAAGGGAGAGAGAAAAAGAGATAGAAACATCAATAACGAGAGAGAATCACTGGTTGGCTGCCTCCTGTACTCCCCACACTGGGGATTGAGCCCACAACCCAGGCATATGCCCTGATGGGGAATTGAACTATGACTTCCAAGTTCATAGGTCAATGTTCAACCACTGAGCCACGCCTGCCAGGCTAATTCCTATTTTTTGTTAAAAGACACCCCCCCTCCCCCCGCCCTGGGCTTCCTGAGATGAGATGAGAGAGAGAGCGAGAGCGAGAGAGAGAGAGAGAGAGAGAGAGAGAGAGAGACCTTAACTAAGAACAGAATTCTTGACAGAGATTTAGGTATAAGTGAAAATATAATATTATCTAAGAGCCTCTTTCATAATAAGTTGCTTTCCAATATTTAATAGTCAGTGATTCTCAAAGACTGAGAAACATGGGCTTCTGCCGGACCAGGAATAGAACTGTGATCTCCTGTTTCAAAGGTCGATGCTCAACCA